TTGAGGTTATGTTTTTTAATGCGAAAAATAACTGAAAAAATTTCCGAGTACTACATCGGCTCATACCGCCGTATCTCGATTTTTGAAATTTTCAATGATTTTATCTGAAGGCCTGAAGCACTCAAAAAATCTGAAAAAATTCAAGGTTGTTTGGATTGTGGAAAAGTATTTTTATGAATTTTTTCAGATTTTTTACTTGCTTCATGTCCTCAGAAAAAATATAGATCGAAAATGGACGTTTATACCGGAAGTGGGGGGTAGGAGGGGGGAGGGGGTCTAAAAATTTTTTTTTGGGACCTTTTTACCATGTACTATAACATACCAAAAGCGTGTCAAGATCGGTGACATACGTGCGCACGGTTTTGTAAAAAAGTATTATTTTGACCCATATACGATATAATATATATTTGCAGACTCGCTTCCCCCCCGTTCATCAAAAGCTCAAAAACGCGTATACGCCCGGCTGAATGTATTTTGCATTCGATAACGAGGATAGGCCCAGAGTCCGTACGTAGACTCGAGGGCTTGACGATTTAAAAACGACGAGATATCCCTCGCGCCCATTTGCTTTGTTTATCTTCGCACCGCGGTAATTGAAATTTTTTTCGTCCCTTTCGTCTTCTTCGTTTTTTTTTCCATTTTTTTTATTACCATCTCTGGACGAGTACGAGAAAAAAAAATTCATCGAAACGTCTCGCGCACTTCTCCGAGGCAGAATTCGTGAATAAGTTTTACAACGCTTTTGGCCGCTTGTTCCATGATATTACGTGTACGATATTATAATACATTCAAAGACATTAATTGTGCGAGTCTCGAGTGCTTCGTCGTCGAGTGGCTCCGGTATCGAACGTATTATACGTTAAGCTTATTCTCGACGTCGTCGTCGTCGTCCTCCTCCTCGTACGAATCGTGTCTTTACGGCCGTGCGAATGACACCGATGAGAAATTATATGATCTGCAGCGGCACGTTAAATACAATATATACACGAGCGCACACTTCTCTTGTGCTCATGTAGGTATATATATGGGGCGCTGCGCTGTAGGAGCGAGAGAAGAGGATTTAAAATATGCATTAGATTTGCGCCCGGGACATGCACGAGCTGACATTTTATTACGTAGGGCACACATACACAGACTGGCACGCACGATGTCAAATTTCTTATGCACACATATAGACATTGGCCCCGATAAAGCGCGCATACATAGAACGAAAAAAATAAAGGATGAAGGATAAATTGATGCGTTTCTGTCTCACTTGTACTTTGTAGCGCGCGCTTCATATGTATCGGTTAGGGGCTTTCATGGCTCTTTTTTACCCGATGATTTATGAGTTATTTTCACAATATTGCGCTATTGAATTTTATCGATAGAAAGAGAGAACGAAAAAGGATAGAGCGCGCAAGAGAGACATCGTTGGGTATATATGTGTATAGGAATTTCGCGCCCGTTGTCGAGCTGTTTTGATGTTACTCACTTTTAATGTATCTATATATATCGTCGACTGTAAATACATATAGACGCGAACTTGGCCGTGTCGCGCGCGAGACAAATACGCGTTTACGTTTCAAGCTGCGAAACTTTTCATTCGTCGGTACTTGTTATCGTATATATATATATGTATAGTTGATGACGGGGGCCACGAGTAGCCCAGGATTATAACTCGACGTTCGGGGATTGATTTTTGGATTTACGCTGTACTTTGTGTATCAGAAAGTTTTGCGCGCGCAAATTACTCTGCCCGACGCTGCTGCTGCGTTATATATATTTTATACGCTTGTACTGTATATTATCGTGCCGCCAGTGTAGCTCCGATGCCAGTCCTACCACTCCTCCAGCCTAAGAGCCGAGAGAGAGAGAGAGAGAGAGAGAGAGTTGACTAAGTACTTGAGTTATAATCTTCAACGGAAATACACGACGATCATGCTTACGAGTGATTCTGGACGTAGCGAAAAACAAACGCAAGAAGTATAAAAAATTAATTAATTCAAATTTTATTGATGAATTCGATCTAATTACTCCCAATGATTTCGATTATTTAGTATAAAATAGGCACCGGTGTCAATTTCTCGCGTTTCGACCCTTTTTTATCCAGCATACAATGGTCCATAAGTTACCGCTAGATGGCGTATGACCAAATATTTGAAACCTATAAGAGAAAAAGCAAAGTTTTACTATTAAGCGCAAGCGATTTTTACTACAAAGCATCTTATTGAAGATTTCGTGACTGTAAGTCGACATTACCTGTCGTCGGCATATTATACAAGAAGCGAAGGCGAGCTCGGACATTGCATTTCTCCGAGGAAACTCTCTCGCTCGTGTCTCTCCTACGCGTATAATATCGTTTCTGGAAAAACGTCCGATACACGTATTCCGACAGCGCGTGGAATCCTTTCAAACGTCAGACTTCGAGCTCGCGAGCGATCTTAGCTCCCTCCTGCATTATTATTACGTATATAATACATCCTCTCGAGCCTGTCGAATTATCGAAGGAACGTCGTGGGTATAAGGACCTTCGAAACGTCGCTACCGCGTACGACCCGCTCCGAGCCTCCGAGCTTTAATTGTCAATCTCTCTCTCGCTCTCTCTTCGTATCCTCGTTCTTCCCGCTGCCACGACGCAGGGACATGGGGGGGGGGGG